CAACAACTACAACCTGTCTATTTACCATACTTGTCTCCCCACCTGTTTTTTCATTTGTTTGTTCTTGGTTGGTTCACTCTTTTTCAAAACCTGTAGCAAAATGTATTCTACTAAGACTGCATTCAGGTACACTTGAAAGGTCTGTATTTTGCATCTTCCAGATGCGCTCTACCATTTCATTTCTAATAAGCTCCTTCATTTTCAAAACATTGCATTTCAAAAGTTAATTTATAAGACACCAGTTTTGGTACGATCCTTCACCTCAGGATACATGCACTATAATGTACTTTCTTTTTGAAACCTTTTCCTTGCTTTGCTAAAAAAAAAATGAAGGAAAAAAAGCCCTTCTGCAAGACTGGACTACATATTGAAAATATATAAAGAATATATATATATAACATGTATAAAATTATTTTATCTTTAAGATTTTAAGACAGCAATGCATTTCATGTCTTACTCTTGCAAAAAATGCCAAGATTAAAAGGCAAGTATTTTAAGTATGTTGTGGTACATATCAGTGTCTTGGGGCACAGACTTCTGTTGCTGGAAAGCTGTGTAAGTTTGTATTACCTCCCCTCAGCTGAGGTGAGGTAATGGAATCAGAGGAGCCTCCCGTGGATCTTTAAGGCTAGCTTAAACAAATCTAAACAGAAAACTCTCACATAAAATACAGCCAATCTCCTTCTCAATACAGTGAAGATGCTTTAAAGTAACCTGTTCTGACTTTCACCAAAATGGATTATGAATGATCATCCAGTCTTCTGAACTTTGGTAAGAAAGAAAAAGAAAAAAACAAATCACTAAGGGGCAAGGGGAAGGGTAGTAAGGACCTGTTTACGTTCTTCAGAGTCTTCCCTCATTCACACTACTGTGTAATCAATAGCCCCCCTAATCAGTACGCTGATTATAATCCTCTGAATATGACAGAAGTATTAATCTTACATCACACTGCATATTCCTTCACAAGAAACAGAAGCAGGAAGATACTGTTTTCAAGCAGCTCACGATCTACTTGCCATTGCACTTGCCTTTTCTGCTAAGTTCAATCTTCCATTTCTTCATTTTCTATCAAAACATCATGCTTCAAGCACATGTTCACAACACCAAACTTCTTTTCCACTGCTAGAAGAGCTGGCTCACTCATTTCTGCATTATGTCTATATAGCAGCACAAGGAACATTTATAGGTATTATTTTTGGCCATATGCTTCTCTTCCTTGTTCCCCTTTCCAAGTACTCAGGCTAATATCCTGTTGCTTTCTTGGAACGTATCTGCATGATCTCACAGGCTAACCTTCCACCAATTGCTGAGGAAGATATGTATACGATCCAAAGATACCAATTGGCCAAAATCTGACTGATGCTTGTATTATTGCACCAGTAGAAATAGAAAGGCCTGAATTTGCTTGCTAAATTACACCACCCCTTTCTGTTTTCTTCTGCAGCTTCAGAACTAGCATGTAAGTTAATTTTTTTCACTCAAAAAGAAAATAGCATAGTCAAATTGAGTATGCATTCAGATAAATGGAGAGGAAGACTCAAAGACAACCCTTGCTGCCTGCCAGGATAGGACACCTCTCTCAGATGCCCATTCATTTTTTCTGTCTTTACTTTCAGTACTCTTTGGGCCCCAGGAAACCACACTATGATACCAGAATCAAGTCCTGAGATGCTACTCTCAGACTGCTAGGAAAAAGGGCCAAAACTTGTGGTTATGCAAGCACTATAATTTGTCTCCAAAATAGACTAATAAAATTCTGTACTGTGTCTATTTTAGGATTTTTCTAAGGTGCCTATCACTGTGGAATTTAAATGCCATATAACAATTACAGATAAAACTACATGCCTTAAAAGGCAATTCACTCAGTCTGTCTTGTTCATTGCATGGACACATTCCTTCCGTTTCCCTTCTTGCATTTTACTTCCTTGCCTTCAGTTGTGACCTGGCCAGGCAAAGTGCCTGCAAGAAAGCTTTCATCAACATGGTGGTTAGCACATGTAGGTCTGAGCATGGTCAGGGCTGGAATCTACCCAATTCTCTCTCTATTAAGATTTTCTTCAGCAGGAGACAAGATATCAAAAATGTTGGCAATGTTACATTCTTGGCCAACGAGTTTGGTGTGTTATAACTGCCGGAAAATAACAGATTATTTATATTATATAGACATTATTCATTAACCTAAACATACACAGAATATGGGAGTCCCATATGAACACACACACAAACCATTAAGGGAAATTAAACTTTCAGATTCAATGGAGAATGCCTACAAGAACACAGAAAAAAGAGGAGGTACTACACTGCCTGAGAGGAAATAAAGACAGTATTATCAGATTTGAAAGACTGGAGCTGGACAAAATATCTCAACAGGTTTTGTCTGTCATCCTGACCAATGGAACATAAAACTTAAAATTAAAGAGCAGCATTAACAAAAAAACAAAAAACAAAAAACCAACACTGAGCTTGTGATAACATAGTAGAGTAAAAAATCGACTTATAATGACAAACACCATCCTAGCACCGTAATTTTGCAGTCTCACCTGCAGCTGCTGTTGATTCATGGGGAGAAAGAGGGAGCAGAGAGCTAGAGGCAGCTCTGACTTCATGGGGTTCCTGCCAGGAAGGAGATAAGACGAGGTAGCTCCCAGAGGATTTGGGGACAATGAAAAGAACCAAAATATCCAACTGAAGTTGCCAGAATACTACATCCTAAACCCCAGCTGGGCTGTACTATTTCTGATGTGTATTCACTCAATTTTGAACACTGTTGGCTCAAATATATATGTGTGTGTGTGTATGTGTGTGTTCTAAAACCTCATGTTTATTTAGATACAGATTTAAAAGCAGCACGTTTTTATAATCAGAAGAGAAATCTGATTTTTTTTTTTATTTTTATTTTTACCTTGGTATCAATTTATACTTTTTATCAAAGGGAACTCAAAATATACCCGACTCTGCTGTCGAACAAATGACTAACATGTCTATATTTCATTCATCTACTATTATGCAAATTTTTCAACTTTACACAAATTCTGACTTGATAGTTGATGTTTTTATGAATGGACTATGTGAATGAATAAGTGCACGAAACCCCTGGAAATTAAGCTAGAATATTATCTTGCAAATAATCTGTACTCATGATTTGATGCATCTATTCATAAGACTATAACAAGAATAAAAGACCAAATACTGGCCTATTAGTTTTATAAAGCAATTGGCTTCATCTTAAATAAAGCAGTTTTACTAGCAAAGATCTCTGAGTCCATCACGACCTGCATGACTAGACTGCATTGACTGAGGAGACTTAGAATCTTACCCACACAATAAATCTAAAAGAGACTCACAATGAGCTCAAATTAATCAATAATCACCATACTAACAAATAATAAATACTACTGTTACATTGTTTTTACAGAGAGAAGACTGCAAGGGTTCAGAGAGTCCTGATAGCACACATAGACAGTGAAAAAGTTCAGAATACTGGAAGAAATCAGATCTATGACCTACGGAAATCACCACATGAAAAAGTAAGTGATAGGCCCTTACCCTGTAAATAATAATTCCAAAAAGGTACAAAATGCAGAGATTAAGAATTTCTACATGGAATAAGAGACATCTTTCACAAAACACAGGACAATAACAGGCCTCTGCCAAAGAGGAGCAAATTTTCAGGTGATGCATGCGTCTGTGCAGACTGTCAACAACCAAAAACAAAAAACTTCTCTTATTATACTTAGTTCTCATTCTTTCATGTCTTCTACTTAGGATGGCTATCTGAGCCCTCTAGTCAACACTGAGTACCAAGTCCTAAACAAAAAAAAAAAAAAAAAAAAAAGAGTTGCAAATACCTAACCTACTTGGAACTGATTAGGTTCAGCATAATACACTAAGGATGCCTGGGAATTGTGCACTGATTTACACTAGGAGAAGTAAGAAGTGAGCTTACAGACTTTGGGAGGATGATTTCAGACCTAGCAAGGACCTGAAATGCAGCATGATCTGCTATTGCGATCAGTGGAATCGTCTGATCTAATACTTAACAGTTACTCAGATTTAAGCAAGGCGAGACTCCCGTCCAGCCAACTCAAGATTTTGCAATAGCAGCACATAAAAGCTGAACTGACATTCCTACCCCCCCCCCCCTTACACTGAGAGACCTGTTGTCCAAAACAAACAAAATACAAACTGTAATAAAACATTTCACTGATATTATAATAGCTCAACAGTATTAACAGAGTAAACTTTTTACCCTTCAGCTTCTTTATCCATGGATTAATGGGCCAGGTACCATTTTTACTTCACCACACATGCCCTACCGTACGCAAAGATCAGGTACTTTGTACTTTGCAACCATACAGTATTTCTGCTAAATAGACTTGTTCTTCTAAATTTCTTTTACATTTCTATGTTTCTCTATATCAACACAAATGTTAGTTAAGGTTCTTTAGGAGCCTAAAGTGTAGGCTGAATTAAAAACATATCTTAAGTTTAGTAGAAACACTTCAAAACAAAACATTACAATATAACCTCTTTTTCATCATTTTGGATGCTTCATTTCTGGAGTATCTGCAGTTAAAAATCATGGCAAGAATAAAACTAAAACTGCAGAGCTGTAGGCCAAGTTTCTACACTCACTTGGTGTATTGCAATGGCAGAAGATACAAGCATGCATCCTGAAAGCAGAACCACTGTGTTCGCATGATGTCACATCTCAGCTAATATCCCTGCTTCTGGTGGTTCCAAGTCCATAACTAAATCTACAAGAGACAACTTTTGCCGCATCAAGTGGACGTAGACAAGGCGTTTCCACACAACATAAAATGGAAAGGCAAGCAAAGGAAAACAATTTATTTATTTATCTATTTATGGTGTCTTTATTTAATTTATAGCATTAAGAGTGAACTTTAATTCTTGCAAATGCCACTGAAGTATGCTCATTGCACAAACATTTTTTGATTGACAAGTCAAATGTTTTGATAGTCAGTAAACAGTTCCCTTACCTTCATGTGTGATTTGAGATTGTCCTTACGCGCGCAGCGAAATGGACAGAGTGGACACTGATGACTTTTCAAACCTGTATGAATCACCATGTGCCGTTTCCAGTAACTCTTCCTCTTGATAACCAAACCACAGATTGGACACTGGAAAGGCTTTCCTCCTTCTTCTTCTGAGGCTTAGCAGAAGGGGGAAGAGAAAGAGAGGATCCTTTACAGACACTTGTTGAATGCTTTTCTCCTGTAAACGTACTCAAGATACCATTTTTCAGTGCTAGAATTTCATCTGCAAAGGGACATAACAGTTAAACAACAACACGTACCAGAAATTTCAGTTCCTCCCCCTGCATGTCCCTTTCCCAGTTAATCTAGTTATTCTCCCTCTAAGAAAGGTCACAATAATTTTATAAAGGTTAATGTCCCAAACATCCTCTGGCTAATCAGTAGGGGATGCTATTCTGTCTCACCTGGTGCTAATGTTCCTTATAATTTAACAGAACTGAGATGGATGTCTCTCATAATCATCACTTTTCAGCCTCATTTCCTATCAAATGCCAGTTGTAGTCAGGTATGGAAAACATGCTTAATTGTTCAAAAATGATCCATTCCCATATTCGACGGTTAGCCAGGAGAACACGGGGGATATAAAACACAGAGCAATTCACAGCTTAACTGATAAGCATGCTGGCATTGCATCTCAGATACATTTAACAGGAGAATTGTTTAACTAGGGGCTCAAGCAGATGCTGCCGCAACTTCAGCCATCAGGAGTCCTAGGGTCATGGGTTTCCTCCTACTCTGCTAACTACCAGGGCATTAAATCCACTGCCTTCCTAAACATTTTCACTCTGCTTTACTGTGCTAAGATACTAAAAGGATTTGATGGCATTTGTCAAGTAAATATGGTTAGTCCACTGTGTGTGGAACCATCTCAAGGTTGATGGAAAGAGAAATTCCTTGCTGCTGACCATACACAACTAACCATCCATTCTTTCCCTCATCACAGCTTCCTCTGCTTACTACAAAAGCCTAGAATTACTACAGAATTTGAAGCCTTTTTTCAAGACTGTTTTCAAATATCCAAAGCTCAACAATGCTTATCCCTCCTATCCGGAATGTCTCTCGGAATATTTCACCTCATTTTTATCAGTTATTTCCTACTGATAAGAATATAGCAAATGCCGAATTCCCTTGATGAGGAACTAAGTAGTAAAAACCTCCAGAAAGATTTATCATATCCTCAAAAATAATTCCTCTTATTAAGTAGGAAACAAAGACTGTAATTCCACCAATTAGGTACTCATTATCTAAGTGCAAAAAAAGGACACATTGACAAAGCATGTACTTTGCCATTTTAGAAATTCTACTCATGAAATTTTCTATCACACTCAACTTATTATCAAAGTGTTCCCCTCTCTGAATCTCTAAAGAGCATGCCAAAACCAATGCTATAATTACTTGTTTCACTTTTTTAGCATCTTTACTTACTTCTTCACAAAAAATGTGAGAAAGACAATACAAAGAAGTATATATTGTTAGCTTTTTCTTCCTATCATTTATTTCCCTTCTCTCGTTACCTTTTCTCCAGCATCTGGCTACCATGAAGGATTCAGAACCGAAATGTGTAACAAGCCCTCTATGACTATTTTTCCTGCCCACTAAAAATAAATCTCCAAGCAAGATGAACCAATAGCAATTCAGCACTTCACAAGAGAACTGGACCAAATGCTTTCTGCCTCTTGGGCAGCATGAGGAGGGGCTGAGCAGCTGGGAAGGAAGGGAGGCAGGCAGGTCGTGCACACACAGCCACCTTAAGCAAGCCTCAGGATGGGGAGCAAAGAGTGAGCGTGGTGGTGGGCAGCGGGACTGCAGTCTTTTGTCAAGATATGGTACAACACGTGGTTCTTTTGGGAGTGAGTAATGGTGAAGCCAAATGGTAGCCCACCACTGCTGCTGGATGTCATGACTGGCCCAAGTGTGCTAGCAGTACCTTTGGTAAGCAGCAGCTCATTCCAGCCTTCCCTCCGCTTCTGGGCCTTCAGTGCATATAAATATCTAAAGGGCAGGGGTCAAATGGATGGGGCCAGGCTCATTACAGCAGTGCCCAGAGACAGAACAAGGGGCAACGGTACAAACTACAACACAGAAGTTCCATACGAACATGAGAAAGAACTTCTTTCAGTGTTACAGAGCACTGGAACAATGTACCCAAAAGGCACCTCCTATCCTGGAGATACTCAAAACCCACCTGGACACTTTCCTGTGTAAACTGGGAACTGCTTTAGCAGGGGAGTTAGACTAGATGATCTTCAGAGGTCCCTTCCAGCCCCTATGACTCTGCGATTCTGTGACTTCACCAATAATAACATCAATTAATGGTGAATGAGAATTACATCAACCCTGTTCAAAGCTCAGCCATGTTAGTTCTTTACTTCATATACTTAGCAAAAGGAAAAAAAAAATGGTGTCTTCAGCTTTCCTTCATTTACACTGACATCTATTTTACGTCACACAGCATAATTTATTTGAAAAAGTGAACTGAGAATTAGCCAGGAAGAAAATCTGAGAACAAAACTGCAAGCATCGCAGACAAAAAGTTATTACCAAGCAAGTATTCAGTCAGTAGGAAAAAAAAAAAAAAAAAAAAAAAAGGGGGTCTGCTGCCTATACTCTTTCAGAAATGACATCAAAATTTTAACAGAGATTACAGACTTCCTTTTACATTTGATCCAAAACATGTAAGCACTTAATAAAACTGGCAATACTAGCAAATTGACTGCTAACAAAATTAGCCTTCTCTTTACCTTTTCACTCTAATCCATACAAGTAATGATCAAGCCCACCAAACCCAACCTGCAGCATCAGTGTGATGATGTTCTTGTAAGTCACAGCTCCAGCCTTTTGCCTGAAATATGTCTGACCAAACAGCTCATATCATATACAAAAGACCAGCAAGAATACTCTTGTTATTAACATCTGCTTCAAAATAGCCTCCATCTTTGCTGTTCCTTACTTGTCAACGTATAATTAATCTTACAGAGTACTGATCTTATAACCAAAGCAGGATGTTGCTGGTGGGTAAGTAAAACAGATTTGTAACAACAAAGTAAAATCACCACTACCTTATACACACTAAGCACAATAGAGGAGCAAGATCTATGCCTACTGGTCTGGGAACAAACCAAAAACCCTACGTCTCAAGAAGCATTATAAAGTGAAATATTGTTTTTTTGCTTTTAATGCCATAAGGTCAGAAATGCAAATGGAATTGAGAACGTGTGACATTTATTTTTATGGTAAAAATACACATGCTCTGCTACCCTACACAACTTTTACAGAATTTTCCAATCAAAGGTCACTTCTGACCTTTCTGACTACAGTGATTTTTTTTTTTTTTGAGCTCCATTCCTTCATGGCCAAAGGAAACAAGGAATTTGGCTTTGCACAATCAACATCAACAAGATATGCTAACCAGCAGCTTGCTTTTTGTTTCCAGTTGGTTAATTATTTAGAAAGGAAAAACTTAATTGTGTATTAGAAAACTGACTTAGAAGATCTTTTGTTATGAACATTACACTACAAAGTCAGCTTGGATGCCAACTGGCACTGGCCCAGTGCGTATAAACTGAAAGGAAACACCCTTCCTCTTGGGATCCTAGTCCCATATATTATAAAAAATGAATAGTTGTTCCTTGGTTACCAAGGACCTGAGGCAGTCGGTCCCTATTGTTATCTTTCAGCAGTACAGTAAGCTAGGGCCTTCAGCAAAGAGAACAGTTGCTAGGAATTTGCTGCATCACAGCTGGTTTATGAAGTGCTGGTTCTACCAGAGCCAGAGTATTCCCCTAGTATAAGCTGCACAGACACAGTGCACAGTTTGTTAGTTGAACACAGAACCTGGATTTTATTACAAATATTTACCTTTCCCTAGTGAAAAGGGAGAAGAGCTTTTTTTTTCCAGCAAGAAACAAACTAATAACTACAAATTTATTTTAACCTTTCTCCTTTCCTATAGCTGCCTTTCCTGTAAGGAGACCAGTCTGTATCAGAAAGTTGCATTAAATTAATGCCCAACACAAAGGGGCCTTTTTTTTGGTTTAGCTTCTATTACTCTGAAAAGGACTTCATTTAAACAAATGGGAACCTTATGCCAAGACCCATGGCAAGAAAAGTTTGCCGCTTTAACTGCCTTAGCAAAATATACCAACAAAGCCCTTGCAGAACATTTGCATCTTGCAGCAAAAAACTGCTCTCAGCTGCACCTCATCAGATCCCTTTCCTACAATGCCCACATCAGGCTTCCCAGCTTATTTGCTGCACTTGTACCGTGAGGCTAACGTTCCTGACAAATTCAGCCTGATACAGCTCTAATGTACTGAACCACTTTGTGCACCCTGTGAAGATACCTGATGAGCTTCCTTATTCCCTACAGGAGAACACCAGTGGAGGAAGAACGCTGATATTAGACAAGAGAAGTATGTATTTTCTACTAGAAATACATACTGCTGATGCGAACATTTTATAAAAAGAGGTGAAAGAAATCTTGTTTTTCCTAATTTTGAAGATGGATAATTTATGTTCTCCAGCATGGCCTACCAGTTCTTCAAAGCTTTTGTTACCAAGACATTATTCCCTGTAAGCCCAGTTCCTTGGATGTCAACAGTTGGAACTGGTGGAGAGAAGGCTCAAGTGAGAAATGGTCTTGTTGAGCTAAATCAGAGAAAAGCAGTTCACTTTTTTTTTTTTTTTTTAAATGACAAAGCTTTGTAAAAGACTGAACATGTGAGATTTGTTCATGCTGCAAAAAAAATTTAATGAAAAGTGGCAACATAATAATATACTCTGGTAAATTAGGACAGGGTAGTAAGCGATTATACAAAAGTCCATTTGTGACAGAGACAGCAGGAGGGAGAATTCTTCCTTGTCCAGTATTTCAAAAGCACTAGTTTTGTATACGCTCACTGATACTGTGAGCTCCCTAGCAGGGATTCTTTGATCTTCTCCATTAAATATTTTTGTGGATTTATTTTGAACGTGGCGAGGGGGGAAATGCCATTGTATGAAATTAAAAAAAAAAATTAAAAAAAATTACTGAACTGAACCCTTATATCTTTCAAAGAATGGAAACATTTGTGACAGTTTGGTCTTCAACTGGTATTTTTAAAAGCTTTTCTATTGTTTCCCTACAGTACTTAATTATTGTTCTTGTAATACACAGAATCAAAACAAATCCAGACCCATTGAAGAGATACTATATAAGGCTATAGAAAAACAAATGCATTCTATTTAGTTGCTCAAACCATATCCATACCTGTACTAGTGGGTTTGGATGCTCTTCCCTTAGAGACTGGCAGTAACAATAATTCCAAAGACTGTGGTGGAGTTGCTTTTTCTTGCTTCATCTCTGAAAGCTGCAGGGGATCCTCAGCAACCAGTGATTTCTTCTTCTCTGCCAATAGGGTGCCTGCAGCCCTTGCAGCAACCTCTTTGAGCAGGGCAGCTGAAGAGGTCATAGAAGCCAGAGAAAGGAAAGAACTAGCCGGAGGCGGGTGCTCCTGCCCAGGAGTCATGCTTCTTTCACTCACTTTTTTTGATAAAGCTGCTAATGTGGAGCTGGCAGACTGAGAGCTAAAAGGTGAGGAAAAGGATTCAAATCTTACATTATCTTCAGTCCTTGAAAGAGACCTGTCCTGCAGAACAGCATTGGCTGCGGCTTTCAGTTTCAGGATAGCTGAATCGGGGGACAAACCACAGGTGGTGGTTGAGTTTGGCAACCACTTACCTTGATTCCATATAAAATGACTACTTGCATTGTACTGGTCACTTTGTTCCTGTTTCTCAGCTAGCTTTCTGGCAAGCACACTGAGCTGCTGGGCATGATGAGCAGGTGGAGAGAAGGAGAGATTTGAGCCAAGATTTACAGGAGACTCAACTCTGCCATTGACTGTAACAGCAGCATCCAGCTTGAGGGAGCCAGCCTCCAACAGCCGCCTCAGATTACTACTCAGTGGCTTATTTGAACCAGGAGGTTCTTCCTCACACAGAGATGACGCATCAGGAGAAAGGTGCTCTTTGCTCTGTAATGTGTCTCTTAGTGCTTCATTTTCAATGGTTCCCAACTCCACTGTGTTGCTGCTAGGAGTTGCACTTCCCAAAGAAGTATCTGGGGAAGTGGACTGATCTTGGATTCTGTCTTCAAGAGACAACTTAAAGTTCTCCTGGACTTCTCCATATGATGCTTCTGAAGGAGTCTCTGAAGAATTTCCAAACCAGCGTTCTTCTTCACTGAGTTCACCTTCCACTTCTTCCTGTCTGGTACCATCTGTATGGAACCAAGAATAACAGTATTATTTCCAAATCTGTTCAAAGTAGTTCCTTAATATAGAGTATATTTGGCTCTGCACAAATCTCCTGAATAGTCATCTAACATTCCACTGGAGGGCATGGACTTGGCATCAGCCTGGATTAAGAGATCAGGAAAAAGTGTTTTGAAAATGAAAAAGGGTTCATTTGAAGACAGAATCATGGAAGCTTGTCACTGTTCAGTCAGTATGACTAAAACAGCTAAAACTGCAGCAATACAAACATGCCACAAATATATACCATGGCACCACTCATACAATGGAATGATTACTAGAGTAGTTTGCACATCCTGCAAGAAGTTAGAACTCTGTGGTATAAAGCAAGGATTTAATAGGCCCAGAAAGTATTGGATACTTGAGTCTCAGTACAGATAACAGGCATGCTTTCAAAAGCAGATCAGCTGTACAGCTGTTCAAAGAAGTTTCTTCCAGAGACTTTAAATCTCAGCCCAATCCTGCAGTGACCCCTATCTAAAATATAATAAAATTTGTACCAATAATACACACTTCATGTCTGAATAGCTGAAATGACTAATATATGAATGCAAGCTAAGGCTCTAGTCTCTCCAACTATTTGGAAGAGAAATATCATACATTTAAAAACTTTTTTTGTTTTACTCTACTTGTTTTTCATTTGCTTGTCACTCTTCATCAAAGTTTCAAACTACATATAGATATATATTTAAAAATAAATTGGTCTCAATGCAATTAGTTATATTTTCTCTTTTGGGTAATTGTAATACATCTAGTTTCTCCACAGAACTAACTGGCAGTATTTATAGAGCTGTGTCCCTAGGTTGCTCTTCTTTCTCTAAGTATGTAAAGTAACACAGATGTGACCAAGGCTTTTTGTTTTTTTGGTTTTCTTTTCCAGATCTTGCAGGCCAATCAGAACAGAGTCAAGAACAGCAACAATGCCAGAACTGAATTCATGTTATCATCTCTTGTCAGATACCTCTCACATTTCTTACTCTGAGACTCAGTGTCCCTAGCTACAAAACAATCTTTGTAATCACACTACAGCAAAACAAAAGGATTTAATATCACCCTCCTCTGACATTCTGGAAATAAGCCTGCACGATATGTATTGTACCTATAATCATGTATTATTTCTAGATTCCTTATTTAATTCCTGCAAATTGCAAAGCTTGGAGAGAAGTTGATAAATAAAATCTTATATTTGTATTATTACTTTGATCCAATGAATGTAAGAAGGAAAAATCTGGCCAACTGCATCTTAAATGTAGAAATAACACAATTTGAAGGCAAAGTTATTTATTTTTAGATGTTACATGCAATATGAGGAATAGTGCCTCTTAGTATAAGTTTCTTTTACTCAAAAGCTCTTGAATTTCTTTCACCGTTTTAAGACCCCATAGAGAAATTACTCCGTTTCCTCAGATTAGTATTTTAATTAGAAGATTTAGCATCACTGCTATTCAAAACCAAGAAAAACCAAAAGCGCTGATCTAAAATTATTTTGATACCACCCAAGTTAACATCACAGACACAGCAATGTTAACAGTAGCTTAAGCATAAAGGCCAGTATCAGGTACATTCCAATAACGAAGATACATGCAAAACAGTTGAGGCAGCACATAAGGCAGCTTGTAGGAAAACTGAACATATTCCCTCTTCATCCTATGAGCACTACTAAGTAACCTGAGGGATATCTACAGAGCTGAGTGCAGCCAGAGGAGAGATCTGTCTACACCTACCTGAAGCAAGCAAATTACGGACTGGGAGCCAAGAAAGCATCTTGCTGGCACTTTCCTTGACCTGACAGACCAAGAAGAGGACACAGCAGAGAGCTGACACCACTGCACAGCTTTGGAGACAGAGCCTGCCTACATCCTACCGCTTAAATTCATGTATGTTTATGTTTGTCTGTGTTTAAACATCCTTCCCACACCAAAATCTGTCTCTCTGTCTCCATTCTCTATCCATAAATAATAAGGGAGAATTGTATTTCCCTCCACTCAGTCATCAAAAAAAATTAGTTTGAGGGATAAGTAGGTTTCTTTTAAGAGAAATTTCCAATTTAATAAACCTCCACATTTCTCTGTTCCTCGACATGTACCTCTTCCTTATGTTGACAATTCCTAAATGCAATCAGTCCTTTAAAATACCTGTTAAATAACACTGTTCTTAAAAATCTTGTTCATCCTACTTGCACTGGAAATTAATTCTTCCTCTCACCTGTATCAGTTTTTGCAGTAACCACAAAAGAAACATCCCACGTATATTTTCACTATCTATTCTCCTTTCTATGGCTGACAACCCAGGAAATACTCACAGTAGGGACACTGGCAAATTGACAGCAAGGATGTGGGGTGTGGAACTACATCTGCTCTGGCAGGGCCACAATATGGCCTTCTTTGACACTAACACAAATACACAATATCTGGAACTAAAAAAAGACAGCAAAGGCAGACAGGACAGTAACAGACACTAACATAACATGGATCATCGTTCTTTTCCCAGAGATACACATTCTCCATTGGTCTTGCCCATAGCAAGGGCAGCCAACAGCATACTACTGACAGGGAGCTCCAGGAGTGAAGTTCTTATCTTTTTCACTTAAGAAGTTGCTATTAAGGCCAGAAATTCCCTTCACCTCGGGCAATGCACAGAGCTCCCCCTCCTGTTGTTCATCTGCCTGGACCTACTCGAGCTTGCTCAAAACTTCCAAGTGGTCTGTACAAAAAACATGGGCAAATTTCCTCCGCAGCATCTCTATCCCAAAATACAAGACGACTATTTTTTTCTTTTTTTTTTTTTTTTCCAGTACAGTTTCTTTCAGTACACAAAAATCAGACCTCTAACTGCTGACACAGTTCTAATTTTCCTTTCCTGAGTAATTCCCACTGTTGCTGCAGTATCAAGTCCACTGTACTTTAGGGCTGTAAGGTTAATGCTGAAAAAGCCAGCATCAGTGTCTTATCATGAACTCAGTCAAGCCTCCTTTTAAACACTAGTGAATTGGTTTAGAAGCATAACTGTGAAGCCTGACAATTTCGCTTCTAAGCAAAGTTGCCATTCAAGGCCTTTAGGGCAGGACTTTAATTCACATAGACTCCCAAGCCTTTGAACAAGCTTCAGAACTCTAGAAGTCAGCCCAACCCATCGACTCGCACACCTTCAAAATGAATAAAACCTTCCTCAGAACTCAGGGGATGAATCCATGGGACACCCAGTCCAAGTCTAACTGAAGCAAGAGCCAATTCTCCATGTGCTTGTCAAGAAATTTCAGCTGAATTCCCTACTCGTGGCAAAAGGTCTGCGTGGTACATTTTTTCCACCTCTTACAACACAACTAAGAGCTCCAGTGACAAGTGCTTGAAAGCTTAGTAGTTTAGCTGAGTAGAAATGGAATCCCACATTTAAGTTTCTTCTCCCCACAACAAATGTACTACAGTTTGTTATTAAACAATTACTTAATGGGTGCTCAGCTACAAGCATTTCATTCTTATTTAAGTCCAAAATGCTAAATGTAAGTAAGAAAGCACATGGAAACTGCGAAATAGGGAAAGGTAACTTAAAAATTAAGGACAAATTCTCTCCAACTTCATTTAGAACAAGACCTCGCTGGGAATCTGCCAACTACTTAGCTAGTAACTGCTCATCAGATAGGCTCTTCTCAACATTATTTGAGAGTCAAGACATGTCAGCACTTCTCTCTCCTGATTTCCATGGCAGTTCTGAAGGGAGCTCTGCTTCTCAAATCACCTTTCTGTAGCAGAGACTGGTACAGTTACAGGTGTCCTGCATGCTTCAGGAATGTGCCATCACACTGCACCTCAAACAAGTACTTTCCACTCCTGTCAGCATCAACACGTTGTTGGGCCACTGATGTAGTCCATTATCAAACAATCTCTGACAAAGTCACAAATCTGTGCAAAAGCACCACTTGAAGAAGTGCCAGTTTCTCATGCTTGCCTTCTTGTTTGCTTGTTTTCAAATACAGAAAAGTTCTGTTTCCCCTTTCAAGAGTTCAGTTTGACAGGCAAATCTTATTAATCCCAAACTGTGTTATTTCACATTGATAGCTTCTGCTCCTTTACGTAGATTCAAGATTAGAACTTGACTGTGATTTCAATAAAGGTGTAAATATTAACTGCCCAAACTACTTATCTCCAAAAATTGAAAAAAAGACAAACAAGTTTATTGATTTGTAAACTAAGCCATCCAATTCAAATGTGGGAAATTCTAACTACACCTTATGCAAAGTAATGTAATGGTACACGTGCCACCCATGAAAGCAGCAAGTGTTCCACAATGCCAGTCTGTATGGACCCGGAGCACTGAAATATGAATGCAGTAGACAACATGTAGGAACAGTCTACGAAGGACAAGAAAAAGGTGAGAGTCCTCAAGTTACGGCACTGAGTGACAGACGTGGGCAGTGAAAGCATTATTACAGAAACACCATGTGGACCAACAGAAATTATCTGAAAAATGGCTACAGTTAAGGAATCTATCCCAAAGAGTTTGAATTTTCCTTGTAAAAGGGACATAATTTCACTTTAATTATTCAGTGCAACAATTAAGTTACAGAACTTCAATACAGAATTAACATTGCATATGGATATTTATAATCCTCCATAGACTATAGTGACATGAAACATACGGAAGTCATAATTACAGGATTACAGAATGAAAATTAAAACAAATATAAAAGAAGGTAGATGTCAAATCATTTCAAAGAAATGCTCACAGGAAAATCACTGATGAGATAGATTAGTTAAGATTGTCCTAACTTCAGCAGTTATGCTCCAAGAAAAGTCTGGGACACAGACTTGATAGTGATAGAAGGCTTCATTCTTATTGTCTTGATATCAAATACTTGATGTATATAAAGGTTTCAGATACGATCATTCAAGTTTGTTTCAATCTAAATAACTTACAGTTGCATTTGTTGGCTATTTGGCACCCGAGTAATCTTCCCAGTTTTTTGCTCCAATACACTTCCGGCTCTTATCTCTGATATTTTCCTAGCCCTGAGCTTTTGTTTAGTCTAAGTGAAGCTCGATTAACCTGGGAATATAAGCAGCAGTGTAACAGCATATCTTATTCCATCTGTAATGCCTATCATAATCCATTTTATATATTATCTCATACTACACACTATACCATGGCCTACTGAAAGAGTCGGTCATCCTAGTTATAGGAACAGAGGAGCCCTGCAAGATGTCTAAAGAATTTGCAGGGTGCATTAAATGAACCAGAAAGCCATCCATGAGGAGTTCTATGGAACCAATGAGTGACTTAGATGAGCAGTCAAAAAAAAAACCAACCATTTTTTTTTTTTTATAAAGAAAACGAACAACAACCAAACAATCTAGAGTTTGGCTTCATGTGCCTTATATCAAGAACAGCAAGAAAAGAGAGAGACGCAATGAGGATGAAAAGCAGTTGAGAACAGAGAAGGCATGGATAACTGTAAATTACTGTAAAAAAGTTATCTAGTCAAGGACAAGGAAGAGGTGACACAAAGTAAATCTCTGTGCTCATATCTGGCTTCCAGGAAGGTTTCAACCACCACCGTTAACACATCAAGATTCCATGTCCCGCTCTCTCCCATCTCCTTTCTTTGCTATCCCTC